GGGAGAGCTAAAGCGAAAACGAAAGCGGTGCGTACCCAGAGGGACCCGAGTTCGATGCCGCCGGTGCCGGCGCGAAGGTAGATGGGCGGCATCTGTTCGGCGCACGATTTGACGTAGACGCCCTCACTCTTCTCCACCCTATGCGGCCGCGCCTTCACCACCGGATGCGTTCGCTCGCTAGTCGTCGTCGTAAGAAGAACGAAAAAGAACGAAAAGCGAATAAAAGAACGAAGAAACGGGCGAGCGAAGTGCGTACTAGTTGTGGTCGTGTCCATGTACCACCAGGTCTACGCCGTGCTTGTTGAAGAGCGGTTCGAGCTCGTGTCGCAGGTGCAGTATGCTGCCCTGCGACACGCTCGAGCTGTACATGTTTCTGTGCACCAGGGCCACCAGCCACCACGCCGAGTTCCTGCAGATCGAGAACACACGGAGCTCGCCTTGATGAGCGCCAGGCTCTGAAGAGGGAGGAGTAGAACCGACATACCATTCCTTCTCGGTCTCGTCGTCGGCCGGTGGCGCTTCTGTGGATCCTGGGGCCTTGCGCCCTCGCCTGTGGGTGCTTCGCATCCAAGCGTTCCTCGCCCGATTGAACTCGGTCAAATGAGCGTCTGTGTGACGAACATGGTGAGAAAGCCAACTAAAAGGAAAACGAAACAACGGCACGAAATGGAAGTCAAACCTGTTTGCGTAGGGTCCCGTCAGGCCTGGTGCACGTGTCGTATAGCGTTGTGTGTTGTTGTGTGTCATGGCGTGTGGCTTACTTGTAGGTCTCGTGGTTGCCGGGGACGGCCATGTAGGGCTTGAACGCCGCGAGAGGCTCCACCATGCGAAACCACATGTCCCACGCCATCTGCTTGTCCGCCGCGTAGAGCTCGCTGTCCACCGTCCACTGGCCACCTTTGAATCACACGCGTTCAAAATACACACTATCAGTTTTCCGTGTGTGCCGTGTGTGCCGTGCGTGTGCGGCGTGCGTGTGCCGTATGCAGTCACCTTTCTGCAGAGAGTAGGCAAAGTCGCCGACGTGGACGACGGCGTCGATGGAGTGATCGTCGCGGATGCGGTTGATCACCTGCCGGCCGTTGTGCGAGATGCCGTTGTCCCCGAACACGGCCAGAGTCGCCAGCACGTCGGCGGGGGCCGCGACCAGGGGGGCCTCCTNTACC